GTGTCGCTCCAATTGTGAACACTGTCTGATTTGGTCCAAGAGTCTTTCCCAAATTCTGCCTCTGGTGTTTGTAGCATTGTTGTGGCTTTCAGCTCTGAGTCGTGTATCATTGGCTCTGGCAGAAATTGCTTCCAGAGTAGCCCCTCTGTGGCCCTAGAGGTGTCTGGACACACCTCAGGGGCTAATTCAAGAATCAAGAACAAAAGTCCACTCACTGAACCACCAATACACCTACAACACACCTTGAAAATCCACACCTTGAAGATCCTCATCTGCGATCTGTCCTCCATCTCATCGTCGCCCCTTGGCTTCACCTTGGCTTTCGGCCCCTTCGCCTTGGCCTTCGTGTTCCGCTTCTTCGCCGCCGCTACCGGCCTCGTCTTCCCCGACCGCGACCGTCCGGCCGCGGGAGCCGCGACGGCCGCGGGAGCCGCATCGTCCTCGATGGCGTCGAGGTCCGTCGGGTCCTCGGGGGACGAGGAAGTATATGATTCTTCCAACCAACCCGCAAACACCAAAAACAAAACAAAAAAACAAAAGTAATGCCTAGACCCCAAACAGCTTCAATACGATTCGCTTAGACCAATATTAGTCAAAAAACGATTTCTTGGTACGCCTTAATTACTTTCACCCCAAGAGCAAACTGCTTCATCAATGAATTCTTGTCGGCATTGACATCGCTATTGGTTCGGCCACACTCCCCTCGAGTAAGCCGGGCCACAGAGACCAGCCACAGAGTTCAGGGGCGCGACCAGTGAGTGTGGCCAGCTCTTTTTTCCTAAGATAGAACCCCAACAGTAAACTGTTTGGGGAAAAAAAATGGTGGAAAGTGGGAGATTGGAAACACCTGGAAACACCAACCACATCCACCTTCCACCTGTAAAATCCCCTCCACCCGACGCAAAGGTCTTCCAAAAAGCCCCGACATACATGGGCGCTCTCCTCGTGCACCGGTGGCACTGGAGGACGAGGAAAGTGCTGCAACAGCTGGGAGGCAACAGCCGCGGTTGACTGGCTCGGCTCTCCGCCTGTCATAGCTCGATCGTCCACTTTGTTGGTCCAAAGGCTGCACCAAAGACCGCAAAGGTTGGAAACACCGGAGGCGGAAGGAAAAGCCGTCCTTGTGGCATGCGAGCCTTTGGTCTTTAGAAAGTACCCGAGCCTTTTGCCCCCTGTGGCTGACCAAACCCTTGTGCCCCCAGTGCCCCCGGAGCGAGCGGAGCGGTGCGGATCCAGCCATTTTCCACCCATCGAAGTGGCTTGGTGAAATCCCACCACCTCGACTTGACTCGACCACCAAGTCGGCTGTCGACCGCCCGAACAAGCTTCCAAATTAACCGTCCGCCGCCGGGCTCCGTCGCAGAAGCCCGAAGAAGAGCTTCCAAGCACTCCCAAGTTCCGATGTTCGCGAACCCTGAAGAAGTTACATGGGATGGTCGGATTGTCGCCTCAACTGGCGTTTTCGGCTTTCCTATCTCACATTCCTTCTCCCTAGCCTTCCAAGACTATGGTTTGAATAATTGAGCTGGTTTCGTAGTCTCAAATCCTGAGTAAAATATGTTGGTTCTTCAGGATTCACATTTGTTGAATCAAGGGTGGGCCAGGAATCCCAGAAACTCCGGTTCAACCCCATGGATGGCGGGCGTCTCCATTACTATTACCACTCCTCCCCTGCCTGCATCTGGAAGCCTGGCGTGAGAAACCGGGCATCGATTTCGATGTGAACCCGATGAAAAAAGATGACGCTCTTCAGGTCAACCGCGATCAACCGTGCAACCGATTGGACTTGAGGATGTCACATGGAGAATCCGTACAGGGCCTGAACCCCCAACATCCGCAATGCGTTCTGCACTGGTGTCCGGACCGGGTTCTCTCCACTGGTGTCCGCTGGAAAATCCATCCGGGCCCGACAGCAAACCCTTTAAAATACTTGAGAGCCTGGAGTTTCAAGGATGTCAAAAAGAGGCAGCGGTTGATCTGCCTTCAGAGATTCGGATGACATGTAAGATCATGAAATGGAGATCACAGGAGCATCCTGTGGTCCTGGTCTGTTGATGCCTGGAAAAGATCCATCCAAAGGCACGTGTACCGGTGTCCTCAATCTACAAACCTGCAGGGAATCTACGAGCTAAGTAATTGGAGTGAGCTCGCCCCCAGTAGCAACTCGCACGTTGATCACGGAATTTGGACCAACTTCTGAAAGACCCACGCCTTGTCTTGAAAAGGGTGCTATTGTGTTCGACCCAGAAACGACATACAGTAGATCTATCTGGATGTCCTGTCATGAGAACGTGGACATCGAACCAACCTCCACCTGTCCTCCCTCAGCATCCGTATGCCTTGGCCTCAGCCAGCTCAACCCGCGGCATCTTCGCACATGCATCGTTTCTCTAATGTGGTGGCCCAATGGGACACACACTTTTCGCACTTCACATATCATCTCCCGTACGGAGTTGAATGTCTGATCGAACAAGCAATGGCTATATACTATTATATATGGCATTTCAGTGGATGAGACCACTCAGAGCAACCAACAAGCGATACCTTGGTTAACCGCAGGTCTGCGGGCCGCAGAACATCGTTTCGCACGTCGTCTTCAGGTTCGTTTGGTTCCGGGTTCGCGCTTGGTCACATCCAAATTCAGGTCCCCTGCTCCGGCCTGCCCTTCGAGGAGCATGTGGGTCGGGAAGCGTTTCCGTCCGTAACGGCCGATGGTGGAAGCAATTCATCGGGCCGTTGGCAGCTGCCCCGACCAGACTCCCCCGGTCACCGGATTTGGGCGTCCTCCACGTCTGCCTTCATGCAGTCGAAGGCCCAGGCCTCACCCAGCTGGAGGAAAAGAGCAGCTTCCAACTCCTCGAGGCGGGAGCAGCTTCATTCACCCGTCATCGGGAATCGGGAGCCCTGGTCCACCATGTAGCGAACGACCTTTAACCAAGGTATCCTGGTGCCATGACCCACAGGCAAATCGCACACACATCATGACCAGCGCCGAGCGCTGGTAGAGCAGCTTAGATCTTCAAAAAGGCACCAAGACTCTTGTTCTTTTGATTCAGGTGTGATCAGATCACTCCTTAGCTAGCACCCAAGTATGTTTGAGAGTCTGACTTATGCAGCTATTCCCCATCCATGTCTTGGGAGATCCGTCCCGATCTGTCCGTCCCTCCGGACCCTTCGTCCGGCGACCCTTCTGGACCGGTCGAGCGGTTCCGAACCAGGTTGGGCGACAGTCGTGGAAAGGATGCTGCGGAATGGGCTGTTTGGGGCTTTACTTCAAAGATCTTCAAAGGCTCAACACCCTCCTGGTCCATTCCACCGTCGGTGCGTCACACTGGCGAACCTGCCGCCCCTTCCACGCGCTCCTGCGCCAACTCTCCACCAAAGGCACTGAGCACATCCACCTGCTCCACCGGAACACCGTTGTCTACGCGTCGACGCTCCGTTCCGCCCGACCGGTCAGTGAAAACCGATGGGGAGAGCGGCGAGAAACCCATGCGAAACCCCCGGGTTCCAGGCCCCCTCCAGTGGGTTCGGCTTTTGGGTCCAGCCCCTGTGGCCTCATGGAGGGCGCCAGCCTGTTTCCGCCTGCTTCGGTCCAGGCGAGCCGTTCCGCCAGGTCCGGTGGGCAACGGTTGCCGGGTGAAAACCCAGGAGCGGTTCGTGGAAGGCGGAAGTGAGACGGCAACAAGGCCAGGCACAAGTTGGAGCCAATCCGTTCATCACTGTTCATCTGAGTGGAAGGTTCCTTCAAGGCCTTCGCCCACGATGGAGAACGAAGATCTCGATGGAGGAGTCTTCAGGCATCTTGTGGTTTTTGTGGCTGAGAAGGTGCTTTCCCTGCTTGCAGGTGAGCTCATCTCACCATCACAAGAAGTGTCTGCCAGCCTGAGAACCTCGTTCGCCTACGTTCGTAGTCTTTTCGCTTGGAGCCCCTTTCGCTTGGTCATCAAGTCAACGACGTACCTCCCGCTTTGGCAACTTTTTCACCGAGAACATCCAAAACTCGTAGCCTGCGGTGCGGCAACAAACAAACAGAATATAGACATCCAACGAGTTACAGCATTGCAATTCCATGCACCTCCTGCTGACCCATCCTGTTACCCTGTTGAGAGGGAGTCAAGAGTGTTGATTTCGCCACCCCCAGCTCTCAATCGGGGGCTAGCTCGACGCACCGGATGTGCTGACAGCATTAGACGCTCCTCTTCTCTTGTGGCGGTGGCGAGAGAGAAGTGGGAATGCTCCCAACACAGCCTCAACATGATCGTCACTCGTCACTCGTCTGAACTAGACCTGGTCGCCATCTCTTTTCCCCTACAGTTCACCTGCAGTCTTATGATCCCGCAAGAACCGAACACACACGTGACAAATACAAAGCAACAAGGATCCTTTGCTGACGAGCAAGCAAAAAAATGAAGGAAGTTGAGGCATGGAGCCTTTATGCAACATGCCCACTGGTGACCCCAAAAAATCCTGCCATGTGGCCCTTCTTAGATCTAACGATCGCACGTCCGTGACGAACCAGGGCCCCCACCGCCCGCGCGCGGCAGCGCCCCAACTGCTCCCGCTGCTCTGCTCGGCGGCGGCACTCGTGGAGAAGCGCCTCGCAGCTGCAGACCCTCTCTCCCTCTCTCCCTCTCTCCCTCTGGAGGCCCGGTTCTTTTTGGAATCCAAAAAGTCACGGTGAAGAACGTCCTGGGTTTTTCAGACGTCTTGGATCTGAGATCCACATCAGGAGCTCCTCTTCAACTCTCCCTCAAAAGTAAAAAAAACAATCTGTACACACATTGCCATACTTCCAGGTGTGTTGAGTTGGGCATGTCCGGTGGATTTGTTTTCCTTGGGAAGCCACATGGGAGCCACCAAGTCCGATGAATTCCTTCGTTGACCTCTTCGATTTGATGAGTTTGAGCCGTAGAGCCGTGGAGCCGTTCCACCCCAAAGCCCACCGCGTTGGTTGTCAGGGGTTCCTTTTCTTTATTTCTATCAGAATCCTGCGGTGATTGAATCCTCAATCGACCATCCAGAACCCTAAGAATGTCCCCCAAGATGGCACACAAAACCTAGGTCCCAGCTGGAAGAGTACTGTTCCACGAGGTGCTGAGGATTGGCATCAGCCTGCTTGTGGATTCTTCCACTCTCTTTCTGAAGACCACTTCACAAAACACGCCCTCCGCAGGACGCCACGCGCTCTGCAGGACGCGCGCACGCGCCGCAGGACGCGTGGCGGCACCTGTGGGGTCTCCATCAGCCCACCGTGCGCAAAGCCGACCCAAGGACCGCTTCGCGCGAGGAGAAAGGCGAACAGCGGCAGAAAGGGACAGGTCGTTGAAGTCATCGACATCAAGACTGAACAAAGTCGGTTTCCAAAAATAGGTCCATGTACTACATGGAAGCAGATATTTGGTGAGGTCAAAGAGAACTCGGATCACCAAGACAACTAAGGTGTCCGTGTCCAAAAGTCCGATGGACAAATGTTCTTCTCCAAGACCCAAGACTCCCAAGACCCAACACCTGATCGCTCCGCTCCGACGGTTGGGGCTCAGACTCTTGGAAGAGCTCAGGCACCAGCACTGAGCAGGGAAGTGGCCAGACTGACCGAAATCGCACACATTGCATGGTCAGGCACAAGTACAACTACAATTAGCTTGAAGCTAGCTAGTGGCTTTTCACGCAAGTATAGACACTAATCATGTCATATTACATTGATTCTTGGCATGCCTCTTCTTATTGACGCTTTACCCAAATCATTGATATAAACGTGCGGGACATCATATCAACGATATTCCAATCGGAGGAGCAGACCTCCTGCTCAATCCTCAGCAAAGCTCCCTGCCCACAGACGCTTCTTGCCCCCCCCCCCCGTGCAACGCCTGCGGTGAAGTAGCTCACAGACACATCGAGGTGCGAATCCATATGGAGCAGCCAACTCAGCGTCATCACCACCTTGGGTGATGCGGGTGATGCCGGGATCTGTTTGACCAAAATCTCGAGAGACTCAACTCGTTGTGTCGGTGCTTGGTCTGGCTGGGGGCCCGGGCCAAGGGGAAGTGCTTGGTGCTCACGTGGAAAGGAAGCGGCCAGAGCCTGGCGTCGCTGCCCTGGGTTGTTGCGCATCGAAACCGCCTCTTTAAGATGCAGACAAGCTGGACTCCTTGGCCGGGGCCCAAAAATACTTCTTCGGCTATGAAGCATCTCAAAGGAAATCCCGTGAAGGAACCAGACGATCAAACGTGTTTGCGCGTCATGAAGTGGTTCACAATTATTTATATATCTGAGAATCTGTTAATATTCTATTTGTTTATCCAACATAACATTAAGACTCCAGTCTAAACAGCTACATCACGCACAACAGCACACCCTATACTTTGGTGCTTCCCAATAAGGCATACACTCACGAACCAGTGCAATAACGACCTGGTCTCTATCAAATCAACGTAGCTTGGAAGGGCGAAAGCCATCTTCCACAATAGGTCTTTCTGTCTGTTGACTGTAGGTAGTACATGCAAGTACTTTACAGTAAGTTTAAAGTGGGCTCCATCTTCCGCGCGGCAACTGGCTCAGCACCGCTAGTGCAATTCTGAAGAAAGCACTCCCTTGAACAAGTCTTGCTTTGTGGATTCTTGCTTTCTCGACTCTTTTGCCTAGTGGCCTTTGCGACCTCCACTTGAGGGCTTGGCAATCAACCTTAGGGCCAACCACCTCTAAAATTCGCAGCGGCATCACCAGTGAAAGACATGTGCTGACTTCACTGCAATGGCCTTTCAGCCAAAAACATCCAACACAAACAGGCCAGGGAAGACCACACCGAGCTGCTGTCCGTGTCCTGGCAAGTCTCGCACGCATTCTGGCTGGATTGATCGAGCCGGGATGGATTTCGGAGTCCAAGTCGTGGGATGGAACAGTCAGAAGAGGACTTGTATTTTTACTTTAACGTTTAGACGTTCCCATCTCCGATCGCCGTCCGGGACGGAGGTCTTTTCGCTCCTGAACGGTCCATGTTCTCCGAATGCAAAACACTTTGGGATCGCTGCTTCAGCCGACTGAGACCTCGGCTTTCCCGGGGGGATTCCGCCCCAAAGAATCGACTCAAGACCACCGGGGCAACATCCGGCCATACCTGGATCTTCCAACGCTGCAACAAACCGGTCACCTTCACTTCTGCTCGCACCGTGCCGCACGCACCGTGGCCACCTTCACCAAAAAAAGGGGACCGTGGTAGGACCACGGGTCCTTTGGTTTTGGAGGGCATCGTCCGCACGGAGTGTCGCCCACCGGACCTTGAGACTGGAGACCAAGTTCGCCACCAGCACCGGGTAGAGGCCATGGACCTGGGAGAAGTTTCTCCAAAGGAAGCGGGTGGCCAAAACAGCAAGACCTGGCATGAAATGGCACCAGAGATTCTTGGCCATGTTCCATCAACTTGCAAATGATTTTGTAGCATGTGTGTGTGTGTGAGCTTGTGCAGCAAAAGTAATTACATCTTCGGTTCCTCCACGTTTTTTCGCCTCACCTCCCTTTCCCCATCTCTTGCAGATTCCAAACGTGAGGCCAATGGCTAATGGCTACCCAGCCTCGCTGTCCATCAACCACTGCCCCAAGAAAGGCCTCACTCCGGGGGACTCCCGACCCAGGGCTTCGTTTTGCGTGGGTTGAAGACCCCGGTCGGGCTGGCAGGTGTGGCGGTTGGGGGGGGTGGCCCAAACCGCCAAGGTCCTTGGAACTTGAGCCCAGAGTTCATCTGGAGGCTTCTCTCCATACTTTCATCTCTGGGTCTCCAAGGAGCATGCAAAATCACGGTGCCCAGGCCACTCCACCACCCTCTCGGTGCAGGATTGAAATCCAGAAGACTCAGGTGGGCTAAGCTGAAACACGCACCACCAGGTGAAACAGCAGACCTGTTGCAGGGACAAAACCCTGGTTCTGGTCCGCCAAGGGAGCAACAACAGGCACACGTAAAGAGTTCAACCAGGCAAGCGCTGGGGGTCTCGCCAAGACCAAACCCAGACCTCTCCAGAGACGGACGTCCCTCTTCAGCTCTAAAACGAACATCCGTCGTCTCTCCATTCTTCAGCTTCCCGTGTCGGACTCTCAACCCGCCAAGCAAAGGTGCTGGGAGAGGAACGCCACCATGCAATAGGTACTGTGCCTGCACGCTTGCAGAGGCGCGTTTCTTTGGCGAGTGCATGGACCGCTGGGGTCAGCGTGCATTGAACAAATGTACCGCTGCGGGGTCATGGAAAGGCAGAGCCCCAAGATGAAAGTACAAAGCAAGCGTCGTATTGATGTTGACAGGTGTCTCTTTTTGCACAGATTACCGGTACATAGATCAATCGGATACGGCGTCTGCACATGTTTCCACAAGCGTGGAAGGATCTTTCCAATACTATCACCATGACC